AGCCTCAGAGTGCAAGCTTTGCAGGGTCAGTTTTACCAAGAGTCTGGTGTGGCTCAAAATTGGGGAACCCATCTAGGAAGCTTTGTCTTTCAATCCAAAGTTGCAAATTCATGTTTGTCTCTGGTTTTGAAAACCTAGGCTGTGTTCATGAGCCCAGCTTTGAGGCATTTCGTGGGCGCCTGGTCCTGAGCTCCACTTGTAAAAAGTACTCAAAGTTCCCAGGCTCACTCCAGTCACTCTCATCACCAGAGAGGCACAGAATAAAGTGCTTTGTGCAGCTACCACTATTTTTTTAAAATAAATTTGTTATTTTAAAGTGTAACAGTTGCTTCCACAATTATGGGGATGAGTGCCTCAAAAGCATCATCTCAATGACCAGCTCAAGGTCATGTTTAAGTCTATAGTTTCAAAATCCGAGTGAAGAGCGCAGTTAGGGAAGCTATTCCTTAAATCCTTATTTGTATTCTCCACTTTCATTTTTCTACTTGGTGCATTTCCATTGTATGTGTGTGTCAGTGTAATACCACAGAAATGAATTGTTTTGGGTATTTTAAGGGTCAATTCAGACAGCTGGCTGAAAAACAGTATCTCAGAAACATTCCTTTTTTAAAAAATAAAATAACTCATATTTGCCAAAAGGTCATGATCAGAGAAACAATATTTATAGTAACTTTAAAAATATTGAGCAGAAACATTTCATTTTTAAAAATTCCCTCTGTTCATTGTTTTCTAGTAGGTTCACCCCACCAAATCAAAGTTGTAAGATAACCTCACATCCAAGCACTTCAGAGTGATGTCAATGTCGCTGTGTGATAAAATGAAACTAGAAAAGAATTAACATTGATTTTACACATGAAAGAAAAAAATGTTAGTATTTCCTAAGATAAACTGTCCTTTTCAGCGGTAAGAAAATGAACATCCGGTCATAACGTGCTAAATCTTGGGCCATCTTCAAGATTTTCTTTTCTTGATAATAAATTTGTCCTTCACCCTGACCTTGGCCACGGAGTAAAATCCAAGTCTGTGCGCTTTTCACAACTGTGCATGGTGATGTGACAGAGTAGAAGTATGCATCTTAAGTAGACTGTGATAGAAGAGGGAGGGACAGATGCACTCTCGTTTTAATAAGATGCTCAAATATCCAGGGTCAATTTGGCAGATTGGACGTCTCCGCTGAAGCAGGGGTGGCGCTTCTGGGGACCAGGATTCCCGCCGCCGCGGAATCCGGCTCAGTGATTGGCACTAGGATTCCACCTGAGCTTCACGTGGCGAACGCTCCTAGCCCGGACTTTGTTTATTGCCTGGTGGGATGAGATGGGCTTGGGAGGTCCTCTCCCTGCTTTCCAGACGCACAGGCGCGTGGTTCCCGAATACTCCGCTCGCCGCGCCCACGGGGTGGAGTCGTTCACTCCGGCGTCCGGGCTACCACAGCATCACAGGTCGCCCGGAGGTGGAAGGCTCTCTCAGGTGGAACCCTATCTCAGTCACTCTAGGTTGTTGGCTATCCTTGTTTTGGGAAGGAGGCAGATGCGTATAGATCTGCATCGGTTTCTTCCCGGTGATAGGATCGCATTCTAGGACTGTAGAGACAGTGGCTGAGGGCCAGTGGGGCTACCTTTAAAAAAGCATTCACGACTGCAGGTGGCGGCCTGGATGCAAGAGGCACCCCAGGGTCGTGTCTAGTGGGTGTGCAGGTGCCTGTGCCCCTCCTCTCTGGGTTTTTCTTCCTATGCTGGCACAGAGGTAGGTAGAATTAAGCACAGGTCCCCCAGAAAGCTTCCAGGAAATTTTCAGACTCCAGACAACCTCAGATTCCCAGAAAACGTGGGAGGTACCTGAGTTTCCAATTCAGGGTTCACGTCCCTGGATGGCAGGGGCGGGGCGGGGCTCACTGGCGGGGTCTTGACCTGGTCCCTGCACCGGGGCGGGGGAGCGAAGGAGCACGTTTGGGCTGCAGCCTGGGTTCAAAGATTAGAAAACCAGGTGTTTTTTCACCATACTAATTCACTCCCTTGGTGAACACTGCTCAGACCGTTGTGTGCCCAGGACTCAGCGCTGGGCGCTCACTTCAAGGCCGGGCATTCACTTTTGTTTGTTAAATACCCTCTCCTGGGTTCATTAGTAATACAGTTGCGGCTGGAACCAGGATGTCGTCTGTGCTGTGAAGACTCCCGTATATCCTTAGTCCATCTGTTTCTGACAACAGCATACCGTGTTTTCCCAAAATCTTCCCTCTCCCTCAGCGTGAAGAGGGAAGCTCGGCGTTTGACACCCTCACGCCAGGGTCCCTGCAGGAATTAGACACACCAACACCTACCTCCCCAAAGGCACTTTCACACCCGCATGATGCTCCACGTAGGAGGGGCAGACTGGGCTAGGATCTGCTGTTCCTCTCAGTCGGAAGAGAAAACTGTTTCTTAAATCCAAGTGTCCTTTCTTTGCCTGGAAGCTCCATCTTGGCCCTCAGATCTGTCCAGGTCCCCGCAGAGAAGCTTAGGGAAGTTCTCTCCTAGTCCCCACACAGACCTGTCCCCTCTCCGTGCAACAGTTGATTTGATTTGATGTGATCTGTCTGCACTCTTGTGCAGGTGCTACAAGATACAGTCTCTCTCCCCACCCCTCTTGTTAAAAGTGCACCTTTAGTGGCCAGAACTCCTACAGCGGGGATTCTCTAAGTGGCCAGAGCCCTCGGGAGAAATGGCTCCTAGATTAGATCCTAGTCGCCAGATGCAGGTTTTTGAAACATCCAGGAAATCTGTTAACTTTAGCTCTCTTCTCCTTTGCTCTTATCCAAACCGTTCATCTCCTTCGACAGGTGTTGCCCAGATGTGTAAATACCCACCTCTTTCCCCTAAAAGCTCCTTTTGTCCTTCTACATGCTTACTACACAAGACGGCAAAAGGGGTGGCAAATGTCTGTTTGGGGAAGAAGAAAAACCAAACTCTTAAAATTGTTCTGAATATAGCAGGACAGCATATATTTCAAAACAGTTATTTTCTCGCAGGCAATGAGTGCCACAAAGGAGCCAACCCCAGGGTACACTTACTAAGGCAGAGTCGTGGGCAACAATTAGCGGGGGCAACTCGCCTTTTCTCGAAAAGACTGGAAGAGAAGGTGATTCGCGTTAGAGACTCGCGGGAGTTTGTGGTGACAGTCCCCACGCAGGAACTGTGAAGGTCCTAAGATCCCGCCTTGCACATCTATGCTTTCAACAAGGAACATCAAGCCGGCCTTGGTTTCCTGAGGCAAACCGGACCAAAGAGCGGTTGCGGTCTGAGGGAACCGCAGCTCGTGCGATACACCTCAACCATTTTCACTCCACATGGACCTGCAGTGCCACCTTTTCCCTCCTGTTGTCCCTTTGCTGAGTCCCCTTCCCAGTCCTGCAAAGCTCTCTACAGCCTCACGGAGGACCCGTTACGGAAAAAGATGCACTGAAAGGTGTTGTGGTGATGTCTTCCGGCGGTGAGTCCGGTGTCATTGTGGTTTCAAAAAAAAAAAAAAGATGTATGAAAAGGAGAATAAAACCTAACCCGGCCCCAGGCGAGCGCTCGGGGGCGCGGCCGCACGCTCGGGGCTCGGGGCCACTCCTGCCTCAGCCGCCCCCCGACCTCGGCCGCCCGGCGCCTCAGGCTCCGCGGGGCCGCCTGCGCTGAGGGAGCCGTCGGCCCCTGGCCCCACAGACCGAGGGAACGCGGGTCGCGCCGGTCGCCCGGAGGGCCCCAGGGGCCGGCAGCCGTGGCGGCGGCGGGGCAGCGCCGACCCCCGCGCCCCGGGCTCGTTAGGAGCGCGGCGGCCTCGTCAGCGCTGGACTGCCAGGCGCAAGCCGGGGGCGCCGGGGGCGCCGGGGGCGGCGAGGGCGGGCTCGCGTCACTCAGCCCCAGGGGCCAATGAGCGCCTCGCCCCGCCGCGCGCGGGACCAATAGCAGGCGAGAGAGTCGTGTGAGTGGCACGGAGGGCGGGCGGGAGAGAGGGAGCCCTGGAGTGAAGTTGAAGCTAAATCCCGTAAGCTATAAAGAAGTTAAGGGGGGGAGGGGGGAGCGCGTTGGGCTTCCAATTAGGAATAATACTGGCTTCGTAGCAACTACTGAGGAGGACCATTCTAAAACCTCCTCACCCGTCCCCAAACCCGCATCCTCCTCCTCCTCCTGCCACACACCCCTCCCTCCCCGCCCCCGATTTTTGACCAAGAAAAAGGAGTCAGGGGGGTGCTCCGCTGCTGCTCTCTGCTTGGTGGGAAGCCGAGTTGCTTAGTTGGACCCTAGGCCTGAGGGCAATTAAGAGGTGGGCTTCTCGCACCCTCTGCCGCCAGCGGGAACTGAAGGTAGGTGAAGCCGGAGAGCTGCGGCGGAGCGGCGAGGCTGGACACGTCCCCTGCAGCCTCCCCGCGCCCGCCGGGGACCGTGGCCACCTGTTAACCCGGCGCTGCCGAGCCCCGTGCGCGTCGCTGCCCCTGCTGGGCAGGGAGAGCGCGGGGTCGTCCAGGGAGTCCCCGGGGACTTGATGTGTAAGGGCCACTTTTGCAGGCATCTCCTCAGACTTGAGATCCAAGTGAGAGAGGCAGCCGCCTCCGGGTCTGCCCAGGTCTGTCCAGGTCCGGGGTTGCGCGGCGGCGTGGAGGAGGAAGCCCGCTTCCAGGGACACACGCTGGGCCTGGGTCTCCTCCAGGGTCTCCCAGCTTGCGTTTTGTTATTGAGACAGTTTCCCCTGTGTGTATGGGCAGGCGGGGTGTTGCTATATGGACTAAGTGACTGACAGGGGTAAAGGCTTGAGAGCATAATTTGCGCGGGGCTTAGTCTTACTGCGGGTTTCTTAAAACAACAACAACGACGACAGCAACAACAACAAACCACGGAGCCTGGCGAGGAAGCTGGGGCGCAGGGAGCCCTTGTCAGTCACTTTTTTTTTTTCTTTTTGGATTTGGGGCGGGTTGAGTGAATGAGTGTGGGGCGCCGATGTCTTAACGCTCCGATGCTCTTGTCTTCGTAGTGGCCCCAGAGAGCGTCGTCGGGATTCCGGTCCCTCCCAAAGGAACTCGGAGCCGCCTGGAATGCCGTGAGACTGAAGAACGCTTGTCGGGTGGGCTTACTATGTGGATCTTCCGAGGAGCGAGGTTCGCGGCTCGGCATGGAAGCAGAGGCTGGCTCCTGAAGGGCCCCGCCGGCTTCTGATCTCCGGGAGACAAGCAGGACTGCCCAAGTCGTCCTGGAGTCGCAACTCCAACTTCCCCAGACTCGCTTCCGCATTTGCAAAGAAAAGAGTTTCTGCTGGTCGCACTGGCCTTTCAGTGCCCTCCACACACTCTCCCCGGGTCAGAGCGCCTGCAGCCTCCTCGTTCAATATATGCTTTAGGTGTTTACCAAATATGATCTCCAGTTGAAAGTTTTATTTTATTTTATTTTGGTTTTGGATGAATCTGTGGAGCTTACGTTGTAAAAAGAAAGGGGGAACGAGACACCATGAAAGAAAAGTCCAAAAATGCTGCCCGGACTAGGAGAGAGAAGGAAAACAGTGAATTTTATGAACTGGCTAAATTACTGCCTTTGCCCTCGGCTATCACCTCACAGCTGGACAAAGCATCCATAATCAGGCTCACCACCAGCTATCTCAAAATGAGAGTGGTATTCCCAGAAGGTAAGTGACTCTGCCCAGATGGAATTTCAAAGGCAACGGGGCAGGCAGGGGGTCTGCCAAGCGAGGAGCCCACACCAGTGAGCAGGAAAGTGCATACCTCTGTGTCCATACACTCGCAGGGAAGTTTCGCCTGCCCAGTGGCTAGACTAAGGTCCTCTGTGAACTCGTAATTCCTGTTTCCCTTTCCAGACTCCCTCTGTCTCCCCATTAGTACTTTCCTCTCCAGTCCATTGGATATGTGTGGTTGGGAAGCAGCCAAACAGTGCTTTTGTCAACAGATCAGATACTGGGCTCAGTTGAGAGTACTACTAATCTAAACAAGACTTTCTTCCTTACTTCTTTTGTTAGAATTTGTATCCACCAGAAAGCAGTGACACTGCCAAATTCTGTAGTTTGGGTAGGGGTTAGACCTATATATGCACGGAGTTAGAGGATATTTGTCTGTCCTTGAGTCTGTAAATGAGGAACAGACATAGTTGTAAGCAAAAGTACCCTGAACTTACCCAGTCTGCTGTTCATAGCACATTTATTCTGAGTATTTTGAGATTCTGAAAGGAATTCTGGGCCCATTGATTTGCAAACTCTGGCTTTGATATTATCGGCAAGATAATAGACTAGTCCCAAAATTTAAATAAGATTGAATTAACGTAGCTAGCCTACTCAGCGAATATCTTCCAGATAACAGGTTGGCAAGTTGTTCCTGAGGCAAATTGTCTTATAAGGTTTAGAAATGAGAATGGTTGAGTTGTTGGCATGATTTAAAACTTGCATCCAGCTGACTAAGATTCACGGTGTGAGAGCCGAACAGACTTCTAGGACGCTGTCCTGTTTGAAACCATTTCTACTTATGAGAAAAAGGACACTTTTTGCTTCCATTTCTTCATTCTTTTGCTATGCTTGCATCCAAATAGCATACACAGACTTAAAAAAAAATATTTTAGACTTGTCTCCACTGTAGCAGGGGGAGAGGATTCGGAAATGGAAAGGGAAGGATTGCTATGCAGGCAAGGAAACATTCAAGAGAAAGAACCTTTTATTTCTTTACAAACATAAACTTCTTATTTGACTGACACACAGGTCTGTGTTGTTGATTTTGATTGTTTGGAGTTTGCTGTTTTCTGTAGAGCAAATGAGTGAGGGTGGAAGAAACTGTGATTAATTGAGCTTGGAGTTTCACTTTGCTCGATCTTAATGCAAAACCTTGCAAAACAGCTTCAAATTATTCAGGCATAGGAAAAGGAAAACTTCCAAAGTATCATTCCATTCTATCTCAAAAAGTGGGGTGAAAGTCGTTTCCTGTTAAAGTGGTTCCTCAAACAGTTCTGCTCTGAGCCTGGAAACCAGTAGAAACCTGAAAATATCTGTAGAATTTTTTAAAAGAAAAAAAAAAGCCTTTGGAGCTCAGACCTACACACCAAACATCATATTTTCCACTCAAAGTGTGCCTAGAGCTGCTGGTGGGACAATTACCATTATGCTATACTGCCTTCTATTTAAAGAAAAGAGATCTCGTTGTCTTTTATACTGTCAGCGCCTACTTTATAAAAATAAAGCTATTGAGAACTCCGCTGGCTGCACTGCTCCTAAACAGGATTATTAGCAGTGATTTGTCAGCCCCTGCGGTCGCAGTGGGCTCCCTTTCTGCGTGATTTCTAGACGGTCTCGTCAATTATCGGTGCCGATGTAGCTCGCTGTTTGATCAGAAGCAGCATATGGTGCTGCTGTTGCAGCGGCAGTGAGTAATCGGGGCGAGTCTGTGTTTCCGGGCGGCCCGAGCACCACGCCAGAGCCTGGGGAGCCCAGGACCAAGGACGCTGGTCCGTTTGGTGCAGAACCCGGGCAGGCTTATTGAAGGAGCTTTCGGCCGGACAGTTGTTGTTTTTAAGAGAGCAAGCGTTCTTGCTGATTTAGAAGTACTAGCTGTATAAATTGCATTATAGAAAAATAGGAGGGACAAAAAGTAAACTCGCCCGACCAACCTACTATTTTTTTCCCCCAACCTATTATTTTTGAAGAGATCACCGTTGAAGACTCCCACTGGAGTCCCCTTGGGGGCCAGTCCCCTTAACAGGGCAACCTGTTTCCTCAAGTCCCTCTACCTCAGGAGCCCCACCCTCTAGCTCACCTCCCTTCCACTGTGGGTGAGTGTGAGTTTATGGGGACGTGGAGATGGGCGATGTGTGAACTCTGGGCCCCTCATTTATTTCTCCTGCTACTGTTGAGCTCATAACTCAAGGGTAGCCTCCACTGATGAGTTAAATAGGGTCACTCCAACAGCTGCTTCCTATGGGTGAGATTGTAAGTTTGAGGTTGTTTGAGCTTCAAAGGCCCCAAACCCAAACACAGTCCTTCAGAATGTTAAAGAACAGCAAACAACAGCAAAACAAACAAAACAAAACCAAACCAGCTTTCAAAGGAGCGCCGTAGTCGCGTGCTGCAAAACCAGGCACGACCTGCAGGGGGTGCCGAATTTGGGTATGGAGGTGTCACAACAGAGAACGGACCAGACTGGGGTCCTAGGCAGTGAGGCTAACCGAATACCTTATTTTGGAGTCATCTTTTTTATTACTGACAAATGGAATTTCAAAATGAAATTCAACTTTATCTGTAACACATCTTAGCATTAAAAAGTGGGATGATAGTTATTTCATTATGCTCAGCATCCTATTATATGTAACAATGAATTTTGCAAGATATGTAAATATATGCTGAGATAGCGAGAGACACATGATTTGTATGTTATCAGAGATCTCTGCTATTGTTTGTTTCATCTGTGAGACCCTGTTAATGCCAAAAGGCTGTAAGTTAAATGACCAACCAACCATATTTCCACATTTACATTTTCAGAAAGGAAAAACATAGAGGTATCCCTCCCTGTTTGTTAACTATGGATTTTAATTTCAGGAGTTAGTAGCCTTTGTTTGTGGACAAGTTTCAGATTTTATTTGCCTAAATTCATAATGCTGAATGATTGAGGGGTAAGTTCCACAGTAACTCCCCTCCCCAGTAGACACATATACAGATGCACTGTAGGTACCTGGAATAAGTAAAGCATTCGATCAGAGATTTCACAGTAAAAAATGAAAGAAAATCAGGGAAGGCTGCTGTAAACTCATGAAAACTGCATTCTCTCACAACTGAGAACATATCCAATTCCAAAATAGCCTTCCGAGGGAAAAATTATACTATGTAGGAAGAGTATGGTGATGCTTTCAAAGTCAGAAGGCAGGGTAAAAAACAGGTGGCATGATGGTTTGTGTGTACAAATAGTACAGATTCAACTACAAATACATGTTTTTAAGTGTGTACAACTCAAAATTTTAGTGACATCACTCTGTCCCATCCCATTGTCAGGATGTCTTCTGAAAATGAAAACAATCATAGAGTTGAAATTATCAACTGCTCAGAAAAGAGAGTCTGCAAAGGGCAAGAATGACTTAACAAACCTCCAACTCTGATACTGGCTACAATATTCATGTCAAGATTTTTTTTTTTTTTTGAGACTGAGAACTGAAAAAACAAGAGGCCTCATTTCCCACGTGGATCGGTGATTTAAGGCTGTTTTCCTCGCTGCCCAGGGAAATGATTGAGCATTAGGTTTCCATGTTTATTTTCCTACAGAAGTTTTTCTCATTTAAAAGCCTTTTAGCACGGTTTATGCTCCACGCTGGTTTTCTCTGTTTAATTGTAGTTTTGATGTAGACTTAGAATGTGGATTGCAGAGCTAAGCTCCCTGCAGAGAATTTGCAAGGCAGATTTATGTGCTAGAAATTGTAGATCAGATCAATGAAAACAAATACGGTTTTCTTTAAAGGAGGGATCACAAACAACAACAAGAGGGCTTGATAAACTATGATGGGATTATTTCAAGTAGGGTCTGTTCGCTCACTTAAAGTTGAAACTGGTCTAAATTTGTGGAAGGCAAACTTATTTTCTGGACGAGTGGCTTTTCATTTCCCGGATATCTAAGGCAGTCTTTTATACACATGTATGTGGACACAAAATATGAGCCCATGGATTATTGTAAGGCTTTTCTCAGCTGGTCCAATGTAATTCTCAACAGAAACATGGGCTGCATCTAATGATTTTAGTGAGCCACTCATTGCTAGTCTTTGATCCATAATTTTAAAAAAATGTATAGAGGAAGGGAAACCTAGGTGACTCTGCCCATCTGAAAGGGCCAGAGCTGTGAGAGTGTGCAGTGGAGCTAACTTCCTTCGGCAGGTAGCTCATACTGGGCCGCTCCCTCCCAGTGTCTCTCCATCCCGGTGGCTCGGTGAGACCAGGGACTCTAGACCACCACTGGCCCTGCTGCACTGTCAGAAGCACGCTGCTGGCCAGGTCCCCTTTTCTCTCTGTGGCAACGGAACTCTCTACTCCTCTAGCCCGGGGAAGTAGGTCTTCCAGGGCTGATCACCCTCCTCCCCACCCAGCAATGAACAGAGGCCACACCAAGGGGCCAGCCACTGCTCATGCTGCAAGTGCGCTAAACCGTAAGCGGAGATTCATGTCTATTTGGGCTTCCTTGGCGGTGCGGACTCTGTAGCGGCTGGAGTCCCCGCGCCAAGTACTCTTGATGCTGGATTCTCAGCTCCTCTGCACTTAGTGTCACCAATGCAGGGCCTCTGGGGAGTTGGTCTCGCCAAGTTCCGGCCACGCTTGAAGGCCTAAACTCTTGGGGAAGACATAGCTGGACGCGTTTCAGCCGCCCAGTAGGTCACTCTCTAGTGCGTTTTCGTCCCCAGTGGTGGTCCAGCTATGGGCCTGTACGTACTCCTTTCTGGCTTCGGAAGGTCCTATTTCACCTTCACTTAGGTCCGCAGGAACGCTCCGCGCAGGAAGCCTACACTCTGCGCCCGGACCTGGCGTGGCGAGCAAGCCGGGAGAACCGGTCAGCGCTGTGACCATCAAGTCTGCCCCCAGATGTACATTCATATTGGTGGAATTCCTGCTAGCGGTTGCAGTCTCTGGCTTTTGAGCTGCAGGCCAGGCGGGGAAGGCAGGACGGACACTGCAGAGGGCAGGCGGGCAGGCGGGCAGGCGGGCAGGCGGGCAGGCGGGCAGGCGGGCAGGCGCATGCCGTGGGGTCCGGGCTGGCCCGCGTGGGGTCGGGGCTGCGTGGCCTCGCGCTTGCCCGGGACACTGGGCAAGCTCAGCCATACCCGCCCAGGGGCAAGAGAACGCCGCGGGCGGAGCTGTCCCCAGCGCCAGAGGTGTGGGATTGTGTGCCCCAGGCTGGGAGAGACCTCTTGTCCAGCTGCTGATCCGGAGTTGTAGGGAGTGCCCACTCTGCTGCGTCCCGGCTTTCCCCAGAGAGTCCAGCCTCGGGAATTCTCGGAGCTCTAACACCACTAAGGCTCTTTGGGAGGTACGGGATTGTAAGGGGTGAGGTTTGGCTGTTTCAGGATTAGTCCCCTAGACTAGCCTCCCTTCCCCAGCCTAGACAGCTTTAGGACAAGCGGCTCTGGGACCTGAGTGCAGGAGTTCCTCCTCAGCTAGGTGGAACTGCCTCGGGTCACCCTGTTGTGTTCAGGTCCTGTGGCTTCACCCCTAAAAGGCAATGTAAGGCGACCCTTTGCGGGGGAGAAGGTTTCTGGGAAGGCCTACAAGGAGGGCACAGGTCTATTGCGATTTAGTTTGTTTTATTTATTAAAGAGAAAGAAAGAAAAACAGAACAGTAGAACAAGCTCTTGTCTTGCTCCTCTTCCTGGCTGAGTGGAAGGGTGATGATGATGCTGGGTCTGTAATCTATATTTTGTCAAGGGTATGAAATTCATTCCGAAGGAGCGGCTCGATCAATTTATTTTTGCTGCCTGCAATAACACAGCTGGATGATGCTTTGAGCTCACGCTAGACTGGGGCTCATCATTCATTCGCCAAGAACAGGCCTAAATGGTGCCTGTGGGATTAGGTCAATTTTAGTGGATCTACTTCGCCTCATTTGGTTACTAATTGGTTTCTTGTTTTATAAATCGAAATCTCATTTTCAGGAAATTACAAAACCCGTGCAGTCAGTCCATTGAGGTAATCCTTGGGTCAGGGGGTATTTAAATGGAAATGGCTCAACCGAGCACCCAGGGTAAAGCAACAGTCAAACTCGCCGGGCTTTCTCATGAAATGTGAGCTAGCCCTTTAGATCCATAATAGATACATCCCTTCTAATGCTACTTATGTAAATATGATAAACCAGACTTGAAGGGAAGGGGAGGGGTTCTGGGAGAACCAAAAATTTATCTGCGAAGGTTAACGTGACATATCTTGGAAATCTTCCAAAATAGATTATGTTTTCCTTTGTCTTCGGCCACTTTAGCTGGGGAAAATCCTTTTGTCTAAAACCCGATTTAGTTATCGCCTCCCTCACAGAGCTCCTTTTCTCCTTTGCAAAACCCCCCATTCCCTTGGCCTCACCGAATTACAAGAAAATCTTTAGATCTTGTTCCCACTGTAATCCTACCGCAAAGGGAGCTGGTTTTCTCCTCATTTTAAACAGACAATCAAAGGATTTGTGAATTTTCTGCGGTAGGTCAAGTGCAGAAACGAAATCTCGGCTTACCCCCTCACCAACTGAAATTGGGTGCCTAAGTGAAATTGGGTCACTAAGGGCAGGAACCAAAGGGGTGCTGGGGCAAGACAAGAGAGCACGAGGGTCTCCGGCTGGCCACCTGAAGACATTCAGGGGGCTGGTAAAGCCCTGGCCGGGTCTTGGGGAGTAGTCCTCAGCACCCCTAAAGGGCAAGCTCAGCCCAAGAATTAAGTCAGGAAAACCCGACAGGTAGCCTAGGCAGCCAGCCCCTTGTAAAATATTAACCCAGGCATAGCCGTGTGACGGAGATTTCGATGGCTGGACATAAAGAGAAGGCATCGCTCCGTGAAAGGAAAAGGTCCCGTAAGGCGGGGTGGGCAAAAGAGCGCGAGGGAGGCCCCTGTTAACCTGCGTCGGAACGGGCTGTTGATTAACCTGTGGGGAAGTCTCATATTTTCCCTCGTAGGCCCATATAACGAGCCGCTACGGCCGAAGACCCAAAGACTCCTGGTGCAGGACGGCGCGGTGGCTTTGGAACCAGTTTAACCCTCCAGTCCAACCCCGGGGATTATCGGACCTGACGATGGGAAGGCGGCTGTCTGGCGTCTTCCAGCCGCCTAGGAGTCCTTAAAAATTTTAGATGGCGCGTGTTTGTAGATCCCGTGCCAGGGGCTTCGCATCCTTTCGAGAGTCTGAGTCTGCAGACGGAACGCAGCGCGGCCGAGTCCCGCTACGCCCTACGCTCCAGGGAACTCCTGGGGCTTCAGTGGCCGGCGCCACTGCATTCTTGGCACTGCCTGCCGGGTCCTTCTCCCCTTCCCAGTGCAATCTTTGTAGCAGGCAACCTCTCCTGCTACTCTTTCTGAGTGGGTAGGTCTGAACTAGGCTTTCAAACAAACAAAACCTGTAGTGTCAGAAACTATGCAGGAGAAGTTGGCTGAGACTAGAGCAGCGACGGAGAGGTGACCAGGGGAAGGAGTGTGCACTATTGGCTGAGACGGGGGGCCAGGAAGACAACTGGGACCTGGGGAGGAGACTTACTAAGGGGAGGGAAATTGGGGCGGGGAAAAGAGTAAGGTGGAGTTGACCTGGCGCGAGGGAGGGAGAGGAATCCGGGCGCAGGCGGGGCGCGTCAGTGTTTGCAGAGCGGTAGGGAAATCGTTAAGATTTATTTAGAAGTGCAAACAGCCAGAAAGACCCGGTTGGAGCTTATGGGGAGCAGCTCCCAGTTAGTCGCCGGGGCCGGGGTTTCGTTGCTTGCTCTGGGAGCAGCTCTTCGCTAACACCTTCCAAAATCCAATTCATGTTTTTTATTTTGCAAGATCCTTCGTCCTAACCCCCTCAAAAAAAAAAAAAAAAAAGGAGCATATGTTTTTCATTGTAGATTTGGTAGTGCGTATTCCTTAATAATAAACCACCATCTAAAAAGTGTTAAATATTATTTAATGGATTTAACCAACCAGTTAAAATAATTTGGGCAGCAGCACTGTTAGAAAATATTGCCCAAAAGCGCTTTCTGATAGCTCTGCACGAGTTTCTCACATCTTGCTTTTTAAAAATATAAACAAGTAGTAGAACAGGCTCCATATTAATTTTTAAAAAATCAGCATGAAAGCCCAGAGCCTTTTGTTTGGGGGACTTTATCAGAAAAATACTCCGTCCGTGGCAAAAAAAAAAAAAAAAAAAAAGAAGATTTAACATAGTAGCATCCAAGGAAGGAAGGAACTGACTTTATTCACAGGAGATAGTCCCTGGAAAGTAGAACTATTGATTCATTCTTTTATGTCCAAAAATGGAACAAAATATAGCTAAGGAAAGTTAGCAAAGTAACTGCCTTTGGGGAAAAAAAGAGGGCTTTATAACTTTTTAAATTTTATTTTTCCGGGGTGCTGTGAGGAGAAGGATAAAAGGGGGAAAGAGGATAAAGGATTGTGTGAGGAAGCTGGGGGCTTCTAGCTGGAAGTCACCAGCACGGAATCCAATTTTTCCAAGGGGAATTCAAGACAGAGGCAAAGGGGAGGAGAATGGAGAAACCCCACAGCCAATCAGAAAGCCTGCCCCAGACCAGTAGCCCAGTCACTCTGGGGTCTCTGGGACTGTGGCTTTTGTTGGGGGTGGGGACATCCTCCAGCTATTGGCCTGGATGCTGATGAGAATTCCGGGAGAGAGACGTGTTCCTCTGCTCCACGAGTGAACCTTAGGGTGCTTTGTTGGGGCGTCCTCTAGGAAACCCTCAGGTCCCTTGAGGTCCTGCCTTCTGGGTGCCCCTTGAGGACACAGCCATTCTGGAGGTTCTGGTGCATGGAAGGGAGTCAGAATTTAAAAGCTCGCATCTTAGGCAGTGTTGGTCGGCTGAGATCTGGGGTGGGGAAGCCCAGGACTATCCCATCGTGCCTGCCTTCCATGGCTGAAGGATGTTTCTGTGTTTCTGCAGGGCTCGGCGAGGCCTGGGGCCACTCCAGTAGGACCAGCCCCCTGGACAATGTCGGCCGTGAGCTGGGCTCCCATCTGCTCCAGGTATAGGTGCTGGAATGTCTGCTGGGGGCATTTGCTTTGAGGGGTGGCTGGCTGGCTCTGAGGTGGGCTTCCAGTTTCTTAGTAAGCAAACAAAAAACCAGGAGCTCAACCTGGATATGGTCCACTCTCAGCCACACACAGCTTCTCCCAGATTGGAATTCAAGGCCTCAAGTGCATTGGGTGCAGATGGTGTCTCCAGAGGCTGAGAGGGACACAAGGCGACTCTCAGAGACTGTGTGCTATGAAAGCAGCCTGGCAGGATCCTCCAGGACTTCCAGATCAGGGGAGGGGACAGCATTTGTCATCATTTGGCCGAAGAACTGAAGCATCCTGGACTAGACAGCCAAAGCAGTGTCCTACAACTGTTTGAAACAAAGGGTTTATGAAGGAAATTGTAATCCTGGTAGAAATATCTGTTACCTTTTAAGCCCACTTGTTCTGGAACTACCTGTGTCTGTCATCTCTCCTCACCCCTTTTGGGCACCCTCCTCTCACCCCTTTGGGCACCCTCCTCTCATCTAGGACATCCTGGCGACCTAAAGACCTTCCAGGTCACCCTCTACCTCAGTAATGAGTATCATTAATGTGAGGCATCCTTTACCTTATTTACAGAGTGCCCTGTTTGAAATGGACTTTTGCCTGCTTAACTTGAAGAGCAAATATTTTAAATAGCAAAAATCACCATGCCATCTTTAGGTTTGACACTTGTCCTCCACCCTGCACCATTTTTATTATTAAAGACACCCGGCATAGCATCCTTGAACAGGGGGAAATCCCAGCCAGTTGCACCTCCTGGGTCAGCTTGAGTGGCATCTCTTGGCAGGAGGCCATGTCTTTTCTGTCCCATTGCTAGCTAGTTCCTTTCTTCCTCCCAGAGATCAAAGAAATGTTAGCTTCCTAGAACAAAGAAAAGGCAGGCTTGAATGAGCATTCAGCCCACTATCCAGACCTCCACATCTCTAAGTTTATCTATAAGGCATTGCAACTCCCTTGCCTGAGACACTATGCATTAGATGTCCAGTGACACCACATCTGTCCATTTTCCTAAATGAATTTCTCTCAGCAGTAGCAGCAACAGGACCCAAAACCTCATATGATCCTTTACTCCATGTAACTTTGTCCAATCTTTTCCCTCTTCTTTAACCCAAATTTCTGGTGGGATTACTGATCCAATTTCATTGACTCATCCTCCTTTCTATTCATGTTCACCCATTCCAACATTGTGTTGTGCACAGACTCCACCACTCGTGGATAGCGAGAATCATATGTTCATCTCTTATCCAAACCTAAACTCTTTCCACAAACAGTAGGCTCCATAGTGTGCTAGAAAGAGAGCCCTGCTCTTGCGGAGTTTGTATGCTAAGGAGAATAGCCTTATATACCTACATAGGGTCCTGCATCATATACTAGGTGGTGTAGGTGGTATGGAGAAAAATGTGGAGAAGAGGGCTGTGTTAGAGCTGTTTGCTATGTAAAATATGGATGCTTAGAAAGGATCTGAGTGCCAAATGCCACTGAAAAAGCAACAACTGGAGACTGAAAGGAGAAGACATGGATAATTTGACATTTCTCTCCTTATATTTATAAAGTTTATTCTCATTCTCTGTCTCCTCTGATTTTTCTTTCTATTAATGGCTGCCATACAAATGCTGCGATTGCTTCCAAGATCCTATCCCATTTCTCCCCTCATGGCTTCAAGAACATTTGAATAGTATCAGCAAACACCACTACCTCAACTTACTATCTTGATTCCTTTCTCCACCTCAGTCTGTAACTTCAGTGCAGACTCTCCATCCTGAAAGTCAAATTACCAACTGCATATATACAAGTGGAAATATTCCTGCACCTTCAGGTTTAGCATCTCCAAGGCAAGAATGCCGTTTCTCTCTTCCAGGAGGGAACATGGTTCATACAAGAGCTTATAATGTTCCCACAAAGTTTTCAGTCTTGGTTAATGATGAAACCATCGCTCAATACCCTTAGTATAGCCTTGAAGTCGACGTCAACTTCTTTGTCTGTGTTACCAACCAGCATGAATTAAATGCTTTCCTTTCTTTTCCTCTATGATCACTTAGTTTCAACATTGATCATCTCTGCTACAGCTTGTCATTCTATTCTCATCACCTCGTTCTCCTGTAGGTCACTAGCCATACTCCTTGAGAAAAAAAATGGAAAAGCACATCTAGGGTTGATACTTTTGACTTTGAAACCTCTATTGGAGCCCTGATACCTATAAGAGCAACTCCAGATGTCTCATATTGACATTGAAACTTTAAAAATCCTCTAAAAATCAATCCATTGCAGGTGTGCTTCGTCAGCATCATTTCCAGGACACAAAACTCAGAATATACAAGATTTGTACCCGCCCCACACCCCACAAGGCCCTGTCCCTGTGCTTGCTGCGTCATTCCTTCTGCTTCACAAGCTCTTTTCTTCTTTAGTCCAAACTCCCTTGTCAAGGTTTGAGCAGGCAATGGCTCCTCTTCCTCCTTTTTGATTCTCCCCATGCTTCCAAGGCACCGAGATTGTTGACCCCTGCCTATTTGACTCTGTGTATGTAGTTGTGTTGTAATTATGTCCACCTTCAGGCCATTCACCCCTGCTGGACTTCTAGCATTTTGAGAGCAGGGTCTGACTCATCATTCCCTGTCTATACTGCCTGGAAAGAAGCTTCGTCCACAGAGATAAAGGAACAGTGAAAGTCAAAGAGTTTTCCTCATTGAGAGCCTGTCAGTTTGATGCCTCAGTGTCAACATGCACACACATACACACTATAGCACTACTCTATGGACTTGCTGCTTGTAAAGCCTCTCATCTCCTAAATCCCCCCTCTCCTGGACTCCTTCCAGAGCTACTGGCCTGCTTCCTTCTGTCTACAAACTTCAGTCTGCCAGCTCTTCCATGTCAACTCATGTCTAATGCAGCCTGTCCTTCCCAAACCCTGCAGTTACTCTTTCCATTATACAACACTGTCATTATAAAGCCCTTCAGAACTGTTTCGGAACCCCCAGTTCTTTCAGTGACAGTCAGCCCAAGAACCTAAGCTATATCTTATCATAGGCTGTGCTTCCCTCTCACTGTGGAACTTCTGTGTGGGTTAGAGGTGTGTCTTTGTCCATTTTCATGGATTCTCAGTCTGTGGGGGCACTGACCTTGTTCACCACATTCCTGGGGTGTCTCTGCTTGTGTGCTGCATGCCCCCAATATGTCTACGTTCGGAATGAACAAAAGAGGAGACTCCTATGGCTATTTCCATGTCCCTCAATCTCCCTGCACTTCTGGCTGAATGGTTCCAATCTCTGTCTGCCTTCTGATTCCTGCGTTTCTTTAGGCAGCCAAAAGGCTCTTCATTTACTCTTCATTTACTCTGTTTTCCCTCCTCAGACCCTGGATGGCTTCATCTTCGTGGTGGCCCCAGATGGGAAGATCATGTACATTTCAGAGACAGCCTCAGTCCACTTGGGTCTTTCTCAGGTAGGTGAGTGGCTCGCACTTGCAGGCTGCAGTGTGTACAGTCAGAGCTGGAAGCAGGTGGGAAGGGACTCCCCGAACCTTTCATGACTAAAAGACTGTCATTATTCTTATTCTTTTGTTATCCTTTCGTTTCTGCCACAGGCCCAAACAATGGTAATGTTTTTTGAGTTCTTACATACACCAGACATTCTGGTAAGAGGTCACACAGTTCCTGAAGATGTATTTTCTAGAACACGGCTAGAGAGCTACTGTAACTACTATTCTCTCCACAAGCATTAACATTTCAAGAGAAGGAAACAGGCTAGGCAGGCTACAGTAAGCAGAGAGTAGCAGAGATGGCATCAGAACTCAGAGCTCAGTCCGGAGAAATGGGTCCATGCTCCTCTCCCCACCACCCTTCAGCGTGGTCTTTCAACCCCTGCACAGGGCATCCAGCCGCTATGAAGATAGTGATTCTCTCCTCTTTGCAGGTAGAGCTGACCGGAAACAGCATTTATGAGTACATCCATCCAGCGGACCACGACGAGATGACTGCGGTGCTCACAGCCCACCAGCCCTACCACTCTCATTTTGTGCAGGGTAGGGCGAACGAGTGCTTGTGTCACGCTGGGGCCTATTGCCCTCCGCTTGTGTTTGTGTGTGTTTCCCTGTTAGTCATGGCAGGGACTGCCGCCGGGCTGCCTGCCTCAAGCCCTGAGCATTCCTTCGCTCCTCACGCAGAGTATGAGATCGAGCGCTCCTTCTTCCTGAGGATGAAGTGCGTCTTGGCCAAGCGGAACGCCGGTCTCACCTGCGGCGGTTACAAGGTGCGTGGCTGAACTGGCGCACAGACTCCGCCTGGTGGTGGGCTGTGGGCGGACAAGGCGGGACCCAGGCGTGCGCAGCGTGCGCGGCGGTCCTAAAGCAGGACAGCCCGCTGGCGCCGGCAGCGCACGGCGTGGCGCGGCAGCTCCACCGAGCATTTCCGGGACTAAGCTTAAAGACTGAGTCTGATGGGATCCCAAGGCTGCCCGACGGGTTGGAAGTGGAGGGTATTTTCACCCGTGTTCCATAGACAAGGCCCCACGGGTGCGTAAGGCCTCTGAAGCAGCGGGAAGCTTTGGTAGCGTCACGTTATGACTTCCGGAGATGTTAAGAACCAGGGCTTTAGCTACGAAGTTGTAGTTCTCAGGTTGCAGCAAACTGAATGTCCAGGGAAAGTGGATTCCAGGGACCCACTCCGCGATTTGGAAGCGTTAGGTCCATTGAGGCCCAGGGTTGTACAATTTTCATTAGCTCCTTTGTGAGTTCAGTGTGTCACTGAAATCTTTTCCTTCCTTCTTTCTTTCTTTCCTTCCTTCCTTCCTTCCTTCCTTCCTTCCTTCCTTCCTTCCTTCCTTCCTTCCTTCCTTCCTTCCTTCCTTCCTTCCTTCCTTCTCAATCTATTTATTTGGAAGAGTTATACATAGAGGCAGACACACAGAAAGATCTTCCACACAGTTTTACTCCTCAAATGGACATAGTGCCCATTAGTGTGTCAGGCGCCTTATCCCATGTGCAAGGACTTTGGCCATCTTCTGCTGCTTTCCCAGACCCATTAGTAGGGAGTTGAATCCTGACTCAACAGGTGTCCTTGTGCGATCTGGAGTGACAGGAGCTCCGACCAACACAGGTCACTCTCTGAGACATCTTCCTTCGAGCACCCATACATTTGGACCCCTTAGTGCAAGTGGGCCATCCCACGTTCCGAGTAGAGTTTCCGAGGTACCTGACCCCTTGCCCACCTTTAGGCGGCTCCTCCTGCTGCAGCGGCACCCTTCCCCCTGTGCCGCAGGTCATTCACTGCAGTGGCTACCTGAAGATCCGACAATACAGCCTGGACATGTCTCCCTTTGACGGCTGCTACCAGAACGTAGGCCTCGTGGCCGTGGGCCACTCGCTGCCTCCCAGCGCTGTCACGGAGATCAAGCTGCACAGCAACATGTTCATGTTCCGCGCCAGCCTGGACATGAAGCTCATTTTTCTGGACTCCAGGTGGGTGGGCAGGACCGAAACCTGCCAGCTCTAGCGTGAGGGAGGGCGGCCATGCTCCAGAACGCGGCTGAACTTTCTGCCCATCCTGTGAACCCACTTGGTAGAAGCAGCTAGCACTGACCCTGGGAAAAGAGGAAGAGGATGGCCACCCAGATCTGAGAGTGCTGTCGTGTGTGTGTGTGTGTGTGTGTGTGTGTGTACCCCGCATCCCCTACTCATCCTGTGGGCTCTGTTCTCCGCAGGGTGGCGGAGCTGACAGGGTATGAACCTCAGGACCTGATCGAGAAAACACTATACCACCATGTACATGGCTGTGACACCTTCCACCTGCGCTGTGCGCATCACCTGCGTAAGAGACCACCCTTTCCCGCTCCCGTGCAACCCCAAGTCCATCGCCTTTCGGGGGCTGGCGGGCGGGGGGAGAGTTGAGATTGAAGTCCGCGCAAGCAGACAGGCGGGAGCCTGGCGGTAGTGGTGGGTGATTCTCGTGCCGCTCCATGCCACAACCTGTTTAGATACTGGACCCTACGTGTTTTAGTTTTCCTCTGACACTCACCGGCGGCTAGCACCGCTGGAGGGTTTTGTTTCTGGAAGAAATCCTTCTCTTGGCAGAGGATGGATCAGGCTTTCCCAATGACGCGCTCCTGCACCTGCAGCCTCGCAGCTCACGTCTCCGCACCCAGACTTCGCCTTAGCTAGAGCTTGATCTCCAGGGACTGAGCCTGAGCGCACACAGCTCTCGCTTTTGTTAATAGTGGCCCTCCCTTATAAGGGAGAGCGGAAGGCTCAATGCAATTTAACAGGCCAATCAATTCGATTGGGAATTTGCTTGCTACCTCTCCCTCCTGCCTGGCGCAGTGATTGAAGGCCCACAGGGGGCCCACACTCCCACAGCCTGGGGTTGCTTTTGGCACGAGCCGGGGGCACGCTAGTTCAGCGCAGTGTGTGCGTCTGTCTCTTCCTCAGTGCTGGTGAAGGGGCAGGTGACCACCAAGTACTACCGGTTCTTGGCGAAGCACGGCGGCTGGGTGTGGGTGCAGAGCTACGCAACCATCGTGCACAACAGTCGCTCTTCCAGGCCGCACTGCATCGTCAGCGTCAACTACGTCCTCACGTGAGTGCCAGCGCAGGGGGCCCCCTCGCCTACTGTTGCCGGCGACCTCGCTCTGTGCGCGGTGGGGTCCACTGCGCACGCCGGCTGTTGGCTACCCTGGGAGAAGGCAGATGGAGCACTCTGATCTCTCTTTTTTGGGCCGGGGGGCTTCCTTGGCTCTTGAGAAAGGTTTAGGACTTTCCCCATCACAATTCCCTGTTTGCTCTCCTTTCTCTCAATCTTTAAGCGAATGTTGCATTAAATACAACTTAATGAGAGAGGAAGAGAGAGAGAGAGAAGAGAGGAGGGAGAAGAGAGGAAGAGATTTGAGGAACGGAGCCATTTATGGTTAACAAACAGGACATCTGTTTCACTTTTTCAAATCTGGGGTTTGAAGTTCTTAATTTCAACCAGAGTTTCCAAAGTTAAGAATTTTGAGGGAGCGGTTCTGGCCCTGAACCACAAAGGGAGTCTAAGTGACCAGGAGGGTCTGATTTGAACTGCCAAAAGCGCAAAGCTTGGCCAGCGCCCAGACCCACAGAGCTTTATTCTTTCTAGAAATGATCGTCATTTTGTGTGGCCCTAGACACAGGTCATGTGGCCTGATGTGGTGGCTGGTGCAGAAAGCACATTCTGGATCATGTTTGTAAGAGTAGAATTGCTCAAAGTTGAAGTGTTTAAGAACTCTTGAATGAACAGATGATTTGTTTTGGGGTAAGAAGCGTTGAAATGCTTCTGATTTGGTGGGGCAAAGGAATTATTTATGTTGTAAAAACCGAGACATCTAGCACTTGTAGAAATAGTGCCTGGACTTTAGGATGTTGGTTAAGTGGTGATCTTTGGGATCAGATTGCATTATAGACAAAGAAGTAGATGCATTCCACATTGTTTTAAATCACCAAATTAAAAATTTAGTAGTTGGTAATATTATGGTGGGCAGTATGATTATTTGCTTTTAAATAAGAAAATTTAATTCAATAGACTTGGGAAATGGGTTTAATTTAGATGAGGGTTCAGTGTTTGAGACTACTAGATGGTTACTAAGAATTGTTTCATTGCCTTTGTTTTTTAGTAGAATGTTAAGATAAACATTGGTAGACTTTAGTGATAGCAAGAAAGCCATGCATGCATTTTAACACAGAACAGAAAATATACCACTATTTTGAGTATGATAAAATGAAACCATCTATTTTGCGAATGCAGGTTTTCATATTGCTAAAATAAACGTAAGAAAAAATGGCAAAGGCATAATTCATAAACTAAGTCACTCTGTGAAGCAAAAGTATTAAAGGGTGAAAAATTATGTCTGCTTACCATGAAAAGGAAGCGGAATTCTTTAAGAAGGTGCTTTGTATGTCTGAGACATCACAGGCATTATACATACACTCTATTCTCTGGTGGGTGCCTGTGGTTAGTAATCATTTCTATCAAACAGCAGGGTATATAGTCACACAGACCCATATAAATGATCCGAATGCAAGTTAGACCTCCCATTGGGTAAACTTAATTTATGTTTGGAGTCATTTTGAAATATTCTGTTTTGTTTTTTAGTGGCTAAGCATACTTTTTTCTTCTGTTGACTGTGTCATTCTTCATTCTACACACTTTAGAGCTGCAGAATTAGATGATCAACTTTACATGAGATTAAACAGTTGTAATGAGGATGCATATGTGATTTACTGATTTACAGAAGGAAAGATAGCATGGTACACAGCTTTCTGATTTTACACCTCTGAATGAAAATAGAAATAAACAGACACAAGTATGTTTACACAAGCACACAAGATGAAAAGCTGTAATTGATTACCTTTTTATGGGTCTTGGTTCTAATTCCTTGTATAAAAATATCTTAGAACGATTTTTATAGCCGCAAATATGGAAACTGCTTGCAACGAAATGTCATTAAGTGGCTCTGTGAGTGTTGACAGGATTTTCATAATGAACAGGTTGCAGTTTATTTGAGGTGTATATCACACATCTGGCTGGAAGTTACTAATTTACATTGTCTTAGCAAATTAAATAGATGGCTATTGATTCTCTGTGGTGGCAGTGAACTAGCACATACGTTTGTTTTTAGGGCTGCTTCTCTTTGGAGCCTGAAACGAAACAGTGACTTCTTTCTAAATGTAGCACCTCACACATTATGCTTAAAGCCACAAACTCTGAAATAATTTGACTTGCCAGATGCTTTTCAAATCTAAACATTTTAGCAGCAAACGTTTTGAAGGGATTTTCACATCATGAAAGTAGAGGGGTTTTTTAAATAAGCGCTGATCAGATGAAGGTGTGAAGTTTTGGTAATGGCAACATTTGTGAACAGCTGATTTTTCTAAATGTCTGATTTTAAGTTCATTGCTAAAGTTAAAATATGTATAAAATTAGTTGTGTCTAACAAAAGAAGTGATAAACAGAACTATTCAGTCATGCTGTTTTTTTTTTTTAAATTTTAAGTAGTTTTACTAAGCAGCAGCAGCAACAATCCACATGGAAAAACTGGATTATTTCAGAGGCAGGTGGTGATTCGACCTGGTGGCTTTTATTGGTCTGTGTAGGACTATCATCTGTTCTGAAAAATCTGGACAAAAGTGAAGAAATGTTTTGGTAAAATTTAGAAAAATTAACTGAATTTTTCTTCTTCAGTGAAATATCTATAGCTCTTCTTTATTCTTACCATTAAAACAAGACAAAAAACTGACCAATTTATGCTTTCTTATATCATTCTCTGGTAGTTTTGTTTTGCACATGAAAAAGTCTTACTTGTGACTTATGAGGTCTTATGCTCTTTGAAGAAGGCATTCCGTGAATAAAACTTGCTTTCTGCTATTTTAAAGAAGAAAGGTAAATGGAATTGTGCTTAGACACAGTGAATATTGGGGAAAATCCAGAAAGTGTGGAGAGGAAAATGAAAAAAACATTGTATAAATGCCTAAGTGATTTTCTTGAATTCGTGATTTTTAAAGTTTGTTTAGTTGGTAGTAATAATTATTTATAGTCCTTTCACATGAAAAACATCAATACCTAATGTGAAAAAAGTAAAGACGTTGTATATAATCATGGAAAGCAAATTCTAGCACAATGTTTTTAGAACATTGTATATTTGTTGTTATTGTTATTTATTTGAAAGGCCAATTCACACAGAAAATATGATACACACACACACACAGAGGGAGGGGGAGAGAGAGAGAAAGATCTTTCATTTGCTGGTTGACTACCAAATGGCTCCACAGCCAGAGCTGAGCCATCTTAAGCTGGAAATCAGTTACTTCTTCCTGGTCTCCTATGTGAGTGTAGGGACCCAAAGCCTTGGGCTATCCTCCAGTGCTTTCCCAGGTAATAAGCAGGAAGCTGGATCATAAATGGAGCAGCCAGGACTTGAATTGGTGCCCATATGGCATGCTGGTACTGCATGTGGAAGTTTAGGCTGCTGAGCCACTGCACCAGTTCTGAACACTGTATATTAAAAAATAAGAATCATTTTGTCATGTTACTGATATGCTAATGAAGTATAAAACTACTACTTTCCTAAAAATTTATTTATATGAAAAGCAGAGCTATGGAAAGACAGGGAGAAAAATCTTCCACTTACAAGTTCACTCCCCATGTGGTAGCATTAGCCAGGCCTGGGCCAAGTCAACCCCAGAAACCAGGAGCTTCTTCCAACTCTTCCAAGATGTATGGCAGAGATGCAGTACTTGGTATGTTATCTGCAGCCTTCCCATACATGTTAGCAGGAAGCTGAGACTCAGACCAGCACTTTGATATGGGATGCTGGCATCTCAAATGGCCACTTAACCCATTGCACAATCACATTAGTCCCTAAAATTTCAATTTTTAAGTATTACCTTTTCAAGTAGAAAATTGAAACAATAGTACAATGTATATTCATATGCACATTAGTAAGATTTAGCAACTGTTAGTATTTTCTAAATTTGCTGTATCTCTCTCTGTACTTTAATATGTAGTACTAAGTAACTAAGTTATGGACATCATGATACTTCATCCTACAGCATCATTCTCCTATTTAGCCACTGAAATGTTCAAAATTGTTATGTGTTTGCAAAAATATTGATGAGTACCAATGCACTAATGCCATTTAAAATACTTTGCTGCATATGTCCATTAAAATTGTACTTGGAAAGTGAAAGAGATTAGATTTAGTGAGTGATTTGATAATAATGAAACCACACAAGTTAAATATATTCAACCATATTTTGGTTGGTAAAGAGGAGTTCTGTTTGTTTAGTTCCTAAGTTTAGAATGAACTCCTTTAATGGTGTTTTCCAGTGATTCTCTGAGTGTATAGGAGGAAATAGTGTTCTGTGTTAAGCTTTTTGTTTCTGTATTACTACTTCTGGTAGGGTCTATAACTTGCTATTTATAAAATGCCCTTTCAAGTTTATAGAAAAGTTAGGATAAATGTCAAAAAAGGCATATTTCCTTCATATAAAAGGAAAGAAAGACTATCTACATGTTACTTTTGCAGGTTCAATGCTCTTGTTTTTGTTTACATATAATTGTGTTAGAATTAGCCATTGTAAGAACTAGTGTAGTTTCAATAATTAAAATGGATTTGTAAGTGTTAATGACTTTTGTGAATATCCTGAACAAAAAGTAACAAATACTAAAATATTGGTTTGCTCTTTCAGCTACATTAATGATCCTGAGTTAATTTAGGTGTTCAAAATTTTAAAAAGTTTGATTAAATGTCAGTAGTATTACTCACATTATTGATAGGAAATTTGAGAAAATAAATTTTAAAGGCTTGATCAGTAACAGGTATAGTTATCAAAATAAATTTTTATTGGCTAAATTAGCAAAATCCTTCCTCATTTTATAGATAAGGTCAAATGAAGCACCTTTGACTTAGCAACTTGCAGCAAATATAATTTACTCTCATGTTTCATTTCTGTGGAACACTATATAGATTTAATCTTTCTAATTATTTGAAGTAATCATCATGCTCAAATGTATACCCATAAATTAAATTTGGTCCTTAATTGTGCTTAATCTTTATTATGACA